TTGTTGCCTCATATCGCGTTAATGAGAAAAAGTGCAAAGTGAAAAAAATAATCTCGTGAACTTTCAAACGAATCGAATATATATGGAAGTGAGAAGGGAGAGAGAGGCCAGTGGTGCAGAGGTCCCCGGCAGATAATCAAAAATGGGTGCTTTCTCGTTGGAAACGAGGCCAAGCCTCGTAATCTTAGGTTACGCAAAAGTGAGAGCTGATTATACCACTCCCAGAGACACGAATGTCCCGTCGTTTTTAGAAGTTTTCGCGGTTTTTAGAAGTTTTAATTTTGTCGTATGCTAATCCCAGAGAAGTCGGACGAGAATCGATGATATCTTTTTTATTTCTCTTCGATCGTACGATAATGGGCACACACTCGTTAGTGTCTCTTCTGAAAGCGGCGTTAAGTAATCATTAATAGCGTTTAACGAAGTCACGCCGTGCACCGGTTTCTCGTCGTTTCACTGACCTGTCTGGCCGCGGTCAAAAGTAGCCATTTGCAAGTCGTGGCCCTGGCAATTACCAATTACGAACGGTGACACGACAACACGAAGGCCGAATCTACGGTGTGTCCGGTCGCACGGTGCTGTCTTCTTGATCCATTAAGCTCTGAGCCGATCAGGAAACGACGTACAACAGTGCTGTCCATGAGAAGGGTTCCTTTTACCGTGTAGACCCTTATTACCTGCAGTAGTACCAAGAAGAGCTCATCGAACTAACGAACTGCAAGCAAATTACCATTCTTTTCTGCAGATTTTTCGAATCGACGTCAGGAAGAAATATGGAGGAGGTCGAAGTCTGTTGCGAAATACTTCGATGGTCAGCACTGTGTACAACTTTCGTAAAAATCCAAACTATAGACGTTCTCGCTCGGGAATTGTCTGGTTTCTTCGTCGCTCGTGTGTTCCATCGTTCGTTTCGTTTCGTTCACTCGGGAAATTCAATCGCGTCGATCAAACGTTACAGTCAATTACTCGGTCTCCCGATTTAGTCGGTCTTTACAAATCACGTCCGCGATTGTGCTAAGTAAACGCAACGGGGCTTCCTTCGGTCAGTATTGACAGTTAAGTCATTCGTAATTAAAGACGAGAATACACCTTTGTACGATTCTTGACTTGGCCAATGGAAGCGGCATATTCTACCATAAATATGCACAGAATTTCAGAAAAAAAGAGTAAGAAAGATACGTTAAAAATTCTTCAATTCTAACGTTCCTTTCTTGGATAGCGGATGGCCGGGTCAAATATGACCCGGTACTGGAATCCACGAAACCACTGACTAGGCATTCTATTGTTCAAAATAATACAAACAAGTCAAAACTAACGTCCGGGTCACTGGTGACCCTGCATCAGTCATTCGAAGTTTAACACGTTTTGCTCAAGGGGCCAAAATATCGTCTCGTTATCGTCGTTATGATGTTGGAAATTTTCAGTTGACGATATTCATTTTATTCGAGGTCCTCCGGTGACCGATGACCACCGTGGTCCCATCGAAAAACCAACCAAACAAGTGAAATTGCAACGAAGTCGTCGATTCAGAAGACGATCCCTGAAAAATGAAACTAACCTCGAAAACACCGGAAAAGGACGCGAAAAGTTGTCCTATAATAGCGTTCGAAATGTCAGAATGCATCGAGCGCGCATCGTAAGCATGACGCAGAGGAATAGCGAGGAGAGCACCAATACACGCGGGGTGTGTGTGCTATAGTTCGATTTGATGTGCAATCAGAAGAAAAGGGGCGGTGCGCCGGTTAAGCGTCGGGTCACGTGCGCGCGCGTTAAGTGTCGGCGCACACGTGCACGCGGCGATTGCAAGCGGCATTCACGTGTGTGCGGCGCGGTCGTTGCGCGACTCTTTCCTCGTCATGCTCTCCTATCATACGAGCCACGTACACCAAGCTGTCCAGAGCGTCGCCGCGCCGGTGCGAGCATGTACGTGCGCATTCTCTGTATCTATAGAGCGACGTCTTTGGATGTCGCCATGTGGCGCAACGTATTTTCAGGTGGCAAACGGCACAATTTTCGCCGACGAAAACCACGCTGCCGCTGCAGCACTACTCGCCGGTATATACGGGGGATCCAAACGAATTATGCGAGTCGCGCCAAACCGTTCTAACCTAACCTAACTATCTCACTCTCTCTCTCTCTCTCTCTCTCTCGGAATCACCTATAGTTAGACCAAGCGGACAAGGCACGTGACGGAACGACGTCTCCACTGGGCTACGAGGAGGAAGCTATACGTGACGAGCCCTGAAAACCGACCGCTGGAAACCTAATCGCGAGGAGCTGCCACACAGACCAGACAATCCGAATGACCACTCGAGGAATTCGCGCGTCGCGCCTGCATTTTTCTGCGCGCGCACCCACCGCTACTTCGCGAAACACCGCCTCGTGAGTGTGATTCTACTTACGCGCACACGTTTGGTGTTTTTGCATCTGTGTGTCAAATACCGATGCTATAAAACGCAATCGTGTGTGTACGAGTATGCACCATTTGTTCGTATTCGTGTAGTGAATAGCGAATGTCGTTTTCCTTTATGAGAGAAAGATCTATAGGATTTTTTGAATGTATCAGAGATCAATTACATTTGGTAAACTTCAGACTTACGAATTGAAACGAAATTAATTTTTAATACCGACATAACTGTTTTTGTCGCACCTTGACCAGGATCTGTGTCTGACTCGTTACTACAAGGGGAGAAGGTAACCCTTTGACAGTCTGATAAAATTACGAATTACGGTAAAAAAATTTATATTTCACCGGTGTTTTTTGAATCTTTAAAACAAGGGATACACAACCCTACGTCATAGTTGTGACAATTATATCTCGTCCCTTTTTAACTTTCTTCCTAAGAGTCTCTCTTGAGTTAAGGAGTTAAGTATTTGACGATTAAAAGTGAAGGCAGCACTTTTTACTGAACAATGTTCACTTGGTCTGTAAGTTGAACTAACACCATTTTGTCCACTTTCCGAACTTTCTCCAGAAAGCTCGAAGATTAATAAATCATCTCGTTTACGAATTAACAACGAATCAAATCGTACGAAAACTCGTTCGTTCGTTCAAGCCACACGAGCTTGAAAGACATAAAGAACATAAATAAGACGTATTGATATATGAGAATGTATGGGGGAGAAAGCAAATATTCGTTAACGCATACACGGGGCTAACGTAATGCGTCTGATTAGAACGGTAATTCAGCACTGTTGCGTAGATTTCGTTTTATCAAATGGGTCAGCTAAATTTATCGTAAACGGCTAGAAAACTGCTTTTGTTGCTGAATATTGCTTCGTTTGTAATTCAATCTATATAACACAGAAGGTGTGCTGCGTAATCTTCAATATGGTAATACATTTATTAGGTATTTAAGCAACAACTGAACCATCTTGCTATTTAGGGTATTAGATATGCAACGTGACTCTAAGTAGAGCTGATCTCCTAAATACTTTTTTTTTTTAATACGACACGCTATAAATACAGTTATTAATATCTCGTTCCTCGCGCGTGAAACAGAATACAGTCACACTTTTTTATTCTACTACCATCATTTTTTTATTTTTATACAAAAGAAAAACAAAACAATTCATCCGTTGGCGTAATATTCTAAATGCAAGATTTATCAACGATAATCACGCGACAAAATGAAGCAACCAAGTCGTCGCTCTTTCGTCCGATAGCGATCATCCTCGTCATTGAGAGCAAATGATCGTCGTCGCGTACACGGCAATTAAATTACACTTGCATTCAGTGTTTAGTGTATGTTCTCGCGTGTAACCTTCGCCGCTATAAAAGTGAACACGAACGGCGAAGGAGTGTGTATATCTCGTTCTCGAAGCGGTTCATAGTATATTGGAATATATCGGTTGTAAACTATTCTCGCAAGGATTCGCGATGCACAACTACTACACCGACGAGGGATTCTCGTGTGCAGGAGAGGAGCTTCGATTGTTTTCTTTATCGGTTCGAACCACACACGCTTCGTACACATTGTACACTTTTCCGCGGGGAAACCACCGCGACGCGTGTGTGCTTGAAAAATGACACCCTTTTTGGAACAAAAACGTCTCTGTCCGGCAGCAACGACGGATTACCTTGACAATGCAAAAATTGTGCAGCGCGAAACGACAAAAGGATCCCCCCCCCTGTCCTTGTACCTGTACGCTAAACGAAAAGGAGAAATAAAAACGAGAGGTGCAAGAGAGAGAGAGAGAGAGAGATGAAAAATTCGTCTTCGAGAGTGCACACACTAGTGTGCAACCAAATTGCTTGCACAAACACGAAACATTGTTATGTGATACACACCGAGCGTTCAGGTTTTTCGGGATACAGAGAGAGAGAGAAAGCAGCACCGGTTGAAATTCTCACGGGTTTCTCTCTCTCTCCCTTTTCTGCTTGCAGAACAGAAGAGCGAAAGAAAGAAGTTGGTTGTCGAGCTTGGGGACGTTAGCGTTACCGACCTCCGAACTCGCTCGAAAACGAGTTTCTTTTCTCGATTGTGTCGCATTCACGGTTGCTGCCGCGGCGAATGACGAATAACCGAGACCACGATTAGCATACTCATGCGGGTATGCCGAATTCGGCGAACTGCACTCTTCTCCCGAAGTGCCGTGCCGTCAATTGCACTCGATTAAGAGGATCCTTAGTTCGACCTTGCTGCCTCCGTTAGGAGGGCACAAAAGAACCAGATGAATAAACTAGTTGATCCTTTGGCGGATGCGTAAGATAAAACGTGTATCCCGACACACAGAGGAAAATACAGCGTTTAAATTTCATAGTAAATCGGTACACCATGTTTAACCTATGAAAATAAAATAATCGCAACCGAACCGTGTGAACTGTACTTGAATCGCTCGAGGAAATAAGCAACTGCGTCGAGGGTGTATGCGGTTAATTAAATTTGATTGTAAAATTAGACGTGACTTTCTTTTTGTGCTCTTGTTGACGTGCGATGACGTGGATGGCGAAAGAAAGTAAGATCGCTGAAATATATAAGAATAAAATAGTGACTCACCGGAATCGGAGGGTGTCTGCACGCCAAGGTGTTCTAGGTTCTTGCCGATCGGCTGATTCAGGTGATAGCAATGGTCACTGAGGGTGTTCCTGATATTGGTTTCCCTGTGCACTTGACACTGACTCTCGTCGTCCTCTTTCCTCCTGTCGTGGAACCTGACCAGCTGACCGGTGACCTCGCTCACTGGAGCAGCCTTCGGTGTCGTCCCGTCTGACATGCACTCGGACAGTTTCTCGTGTATATTGATCTGATCGTGTCTGAAGAACGGACCCTCGTCCTCTGTTTCTGTGTCGGAACTGGAACTTTGCGGTGTTTCCGGCCTTGTGGAATCGCCGTCGCTCTCCAAATTTTTTGCACGACACTGTTGTTGCTGGGCCTGTTGCTGGTTGGTAGGCATCAAGCTCCCTGTTTGAGCGACACTGGCTTTAGATATCAGAACACTTCGACCGGCTGGTACCTTTTTATGGATCTGCGAGTCCTTCTTCGCGGGTAACGTCCTGTTATGTTCTTTGCTGATGCACAGGCCTGCCCACATACAGTCGTGATGACGTATCTCGCGGGACGCCAGGCAGGTCATCTTGTCGTAAAGCAGGTCCGGTAGGACGCCGTCGTCGAAGGTGCGCTCGTGATACATTTCCGAGTGGGCGTCCACTCGGTCCAGCGGGAAGTCTAGGTCGAACTTCTTCCATATGTCGTCGGACACCACTGTCGCGGTGTCCAGGGGCTCGTCCAACAGGCCCAGATCAGAGCAACCCCAAACTGGCACCGGCATATCGCCTGAAGGGATACCAACCACACTGTATTTCTCTTTTTTTTTTCTTTTTTTTTTTTTTTTTAGAAATTGATTATCTCACTTTCAACACGTTCGCTACCACGGTTTTGCCCGAGCATCGTTCCCTATCCTTTCAATTATTTCGATTCACGTTGTTAACACATTGTTGACGGGAAATGCGAATTCGCGCCCTTTGTTGCTAAACTGTTAGCGGTCATCGTCCGTTTTTCAACTGCTTAGCATCGTCTACACCTCTATTATCGAATGAATTATTTTTGAAAAACTACACATGTCAAATGGTGTCATTTCATGGTGCACCGTCAGCAATGTGTTAATATCTATATTTTTATCAGTTTCACACGGATTCCTCTACTTGTACACACCTGATTAAATACTCAAACTGTGCATTTCGTATGACGTATTTACAATACCGTTCTATCGTGGGAATTGGTGAGTCACACGTAAGTAGCGAACGTGTTAACGTAAATATTGGTACAACGAAATATAGACGAACTGATTCGAACCGAACACGAAGTGACGAAAATACCTACTATTAGAAGAGAAAAATGGAAAGGGAGATGTAAGAGTGTATTATTACTCGGATCGAAAGAGAAAAGTTGAAAGTACATACGTTTCTCTACGTTACTACACGATTTTAAACGAATTTCGATCCCCTCCGTCAATCATCCAGCTAATCGTCCCATGCAGAAGGATCCATTTCTCCTTCTCCGCGCACAGTTACGTGTTGCTTCACCGTGAAGCACCGTATACTAACCGTTCGGTATTGCACCGCGTGTTGTAACACGCATTATCACGGGAATCAGCGAAACGAATACAGTTAATGCTATGAAAATATGAACAGAGGTCGTAACTGGCGCGCGTGTACGTATTAAAAATAGACGTCCTTCGCTGCCGACGTATCACTTCGCGCGCTTTTTTGCCGCGCCTCTGTAAAAAGCGACGCCGCTAAACCGCGCGACAAAATCAGTATCGGCGAATGCACAAAAAGAAAACCAGGAAGAATATGTACCACTTCTAACGTGTACCTACACGTCTTACGAGAAATACACCGACGAATTGCGAGAAAATCCGTCCCGAAGACGGTGAAGCGAGCATCTTGAAGCCAGGCCCACGGCGCTCGATGGGGGTGACTCGCCCCCTTTGGGTGTTTCTTTGGGCCTGTTCGCGCAGGGGTGGACAGGGATCTCACTCTTCACGAGACCCTTGAAGCACAATTTTTGCTTCATATAACTCTTGTGTAACATGTACTATTGTAAAAACCGTAGACACGTTCAATGAATTTCACGCCCACCCTACTCCGAGTCAGAGTACTTTCTGGCAGAATCCTTGTTGTTTGACATATGCAAACTGCATATCCAGAGTCGATAAGCGTTGTATAGAAGCAACTTTGGAAGGCGAAAAAAGAAATAAATAGAATCGATAACGACGAATCGAGAATTCATTGGAAACAAGGTGCGTCGACCTTCGAATAAATCACGACCAGCCACACGAAACACGTCCCTAGACAACGCAACCTTTTTCTTTTTTTTTCCTTTTCTCCCTCGTCGAGCGACAGACCGTTACGCGTCTTTCTTTCTATGCAACGAACCACGGACACAACGGGTCATGGTGCATTTTAACCACCTGGTGTTACGTGAGACCCTTAAAGCTGAGAGTCTGCGTGAGAGAGAATTGGGCGAGTTATCTGTTTGACAGCAGTTTCAAGAATTTTTAGTGACAGACGCTAGAGAACTTGGAGAGTGGAAATGTAGCCTGGAGAGCTTCTCGCGCGAGTTTTAGTCTGGAAAGGATTCTATAGGAAAATTTTTACACTTAGACACTAGAAAACTCGCCGAGAGTAGAAATGTACCCCTGAGAGCTTCTCTCGCGAGTTTTACTCTCTAAAGGACACTGGATCCCAATTTTTTTACTGCTTGAAGCTTTCAAAGAATCTGAAAAAATTCTAGAGAACCTATCAAACCCATAGAAAGATAGAAAGATAGAAAATAGAAATTCGTTTGGAAGAAACACCTGAATAAAATTTTCACTCGGGTCACTAAAGACCCAAATTGCCTACGAGAGTTTCTTACGGCAGCTCCTCTCGAGAGTATCCATCTCTCCGCCAGCACTGTCGATAAATAAATTTGCCTCTCGAGAGTAACTCGCGATAGTTCCACTCTCAGACGTGTTACCCGTACCTCGAGATCTAGCACGAGACCTCGTATAAGCAACGAATATCGACAGCACAATCGCGATTCAGTTATTGCCAACTAACCGTCTGAATGCAAATAGGATAGAGCAGCAGTGTTACATACTGGGAAGACCCGAGTTTGTATCCGTGATACAGAGAAAAATCAATTCCTTCGCGAGATGACGCATCACTTTGCACGACGACGCGCGTAACACACTGGCATATGATTCGATCTCTTCGTGATCACTTCTAACCAGTGTGATCGTTGAATGCTCGTTGAGAGAGCAAAGAAGAAATAGAGGTGCAGAGGTGGCCTGTGGAACGCCGTATGCATCGAAAAGTCACATGGGATAACGCGCGATATGGGTGGTTCGAATACAGTGACTCAGGCAGGTTCAACGAAATTCAACCGGCTATATCGGTTTTGCGGATCTGTAACACACCGACTCAGAGAAAACGGACAGCAGGCTAACGCAAACATTACATCCGCTGCTCGGGCTCGATTAGGCCCACCTCGATAACAACTCGCGAGTGTTCGCGATCTTCGTTTCTTCCACGCGACGCCATTAATTGTGTTACGTAAACGACGATTATCGCGGGAACATTTTAGCGGGAACGGAACGTCTGTTTGTTTATACCTTCCTCACAGGAAAACATGAAATTCGAGTGAAGGAAAAACCGGGGAATAACAATGGTATTAAGTGGTACTATAACTGTGAACACACTCGAGAGATAGACTGTTCGAAATTAGGAATTAAAGGGGAACGAGTTAAATTGTCCAGATGACGTTTTATTTGAATAATTTAAACGGAATAGAACACACTTGGAACGAGAACTGAAATTCACTTTGTAGATTGTTATGTTCGTGCGAGTGCCATGTGATCGAATATCGCAAGCGTGACGTTAAAAGTGTGAAATTAAAACAAAGAGACACGAGCAAGTGGAATTTGTGCGCATCTGTTCCAGTTCGACAAGGAAGACAGTTCTACACGAGGTATTTTCGCGAAGGAGTGTACAAGGGCTGGAATAGTGATTTCATCGAAAATCCAAAGTACAATGTATCGGTGTTAATATTTTGACAAGCGCTCGAGCGAAGACGTTCCGATGGCGAGCGAGTCGTTTTACGTGAGATTCTTATCGGAAACTGCCGCCGCTAGGAGGGCCAGAAAAATAAGCAACAAGAAGAGAAAAAGAGAACGAGAGGAAGAGGGGACAGCGAGAAAGAAAGAGAGGGAGAGAGAGAGACCGTGGCCTTTGTGACTCAGTTGCCCGTGAAAAAACGTGCACCGTTGAAAAACAATGACACATTATCCGTTTCTCCTTGCCCCTACTACTTTACCGCTGAATCGAACAAAAGAGTCGGTAGGGGAAATCACCTTCCTAGAACGACCTTGAGAGCAAAAGAAAGCACTGGTTGTGTATTGCTTCGTGTTACTCGTCGTTATACCAGAAAAACAAAAAAAAAAAAATACAGAGGAAAGGGACAGAAAAAAACGGGATAAACTTTCGTTAAACCGTTCTCGAACGGTCGGCACGCGCAAAAAAAAGCGTTCCTCGTCGAGTAGTAAACAGAGAGACAGAGAAAGAGAGAGAGAGAGAGGTAGCCGCGTGCCGAGTGTGTTTTCAGAAGAAACGTCGGGTATAATTTCTTGCGTGAATTCCATCGAACCGTCTGTCGTTGTGTGTTTCTCCCTCTTTTAGTAGAGCCAACGAACGAAGAATCATCGAGACAGCTCTTCTTTTTCCGGCCACACGAATAGGTAAATCACTTGCATCGCGTTTGTTATTAACAATTCACACTATCACGGGGTGACACTTCACCAACTACTAAAAAAACAACTTAATTTCACTTGGTTCGACGCACGGTAGGGACGACATTGTACAGTATTCCCCGGATCAATGTAACATCCGTATCCCCACTTTTCTCTTGGTCAGAAAATAATCTTTATCTCCTTCCCTCTCAGATTCCTCTGCTCAAGTGGCGCTCGTAACATTGCGTTCGAAAACGCGATGACAAGTTCCCTTATCCCGGTTTAGTGTAACTTCTTGATTCCGAACGCCGTTACACTGATCCGGGGAACACTGTATATACCGTGAGCACACAGATGCTTGATTTCGCGCACCGTTTATTATATTCGTATGTTACGGTGAATTGGACATTGACGAGAGAGGGAGAGCGGGAGAGAGACCGCGACTGCTTTCGTTTAGACAGACTTTCGAAAATCTATATGTACATGAACACACATATGACTATATACATGTATAAAACACATTCCATGGCCACGAGACGACGATCGATGGATCGAACTTTTCTGCCTACGAACTCGCCGAGAGAAACAGAGAAACCGGTCCACGAGCAGCAGCTTTATAGGTGGCCGGTGTGTGTGCTCGCTAACTTCCGTCGAACATTATCGTTCAAGCGTGTAACGAGCTGACAGCTTTCCTACCGCACTCTAATTAACGATGGCTTTCTTCGTTGGGACGAAAGAAGTTTGGAACACAGGCAAAAGCGAAATGAAAAATGACGGTCCTGTTTCGTATTTAATTGTGCGAGGGCGACACCATTCGAGGGAAGCGTTCGAGAGTTTCGTGAAAACCAGAGAGAAGCACGCACGTCAGATCGCGCGATGTGTTGCACGACGTTGCGATAGAAAGTGCAATATATCGGTTAGCGTGCCTATCACCGCTTGACATATTTTCGCGTATATTGATCCCGATGGGACGCGACGTGTGTTACTTTAACCGTACGAATACTGCCGCTTATGAGAGTTCACGCCCGATGGTAAAATAATTTTCGAAATGTCAAGCATCGTGGTGGTTACACGTCGAGTTTCAAGTTGATTTCTAATAAAACGCGGGACGTGTATCTGTAGCTGACGTTAAAATATTTCACTGTGTTTAATTTCCAAGTGCACGGATACTACGGGTAAATAAAATGACAATTATTTTCGAATAATTTTCATATGTTGAAATCGTATTTTCTATACTTTTTCCAATTATTGAGAATTAACGACGAAAATCGGGAATCGCGCGTGAAAAAACGAACAGCCAGAATTTTGGCGGCAAAACGAAAGTCGAGAGTACATGCTGTAGAGGTTAGGTATTGAGTATATCGAGGCCTATTTTTAGACAATAGGGTATAAATTCGAGCGAACCGGCTGACTGCCAAAGAAGAAATTCATAACTTTTAATACAAAGTATTCAAGGAAATTCATATTTTGCGAACCGAACTGCTTTATCGACATTTATACGGGAATTCTACGTTCCATCCGAAAAAAGCGTTAGGCGAATCTTTGGAGGCACGCCGAATGTGATTCGTCAGAATTTTCCATCGCGCATGTTACATCGCGCTCGACAATACGAATATATATATATATGTTATATGTATACATATATATGTTTACAAGTCTATTAGCGTCCATTTGTCTTGCAAATTCTCGTATTTCTCATTGAAAATTCGCCTCGAGTCGGTTGCAAGTGGCGCGTTCGCGTGGAACTGTCAAAATGGAAAGACGAAATTCACAGAAAGCCGTTCTATCGTTTACACGAACGTTCTCAATCGCGTCTACATACGTCACAATATATCTGTCACTTCGAATTCGGCACAAGAATCAAAGCCACGAACCGGAGGACGGAAAAAAAAGAAACAGAGAAGAAAAGAACGATGAAAAAAATTAGATGCACTGTACAAACCTGTAGGCCACTTCGCGTTGTAACCCAAAAGAAAGATAGTATCCACTGTGGAACACACTTTGGCGCGAGATTTGAACTCGCGCTAGAAACAAAACCGATAGAATGAAGTAAAGGCGCGTCCTGCCTCTTTTTCCGCTTTTGGTAGTACGTCTATAGATTTCGTTCTCGGCCCGGTCTCGAACGATGGACGAGCCACGGAGAGAGCGAGCTGTTACACGGCACTGAGCAAAAAACTAAAAGAAAAGAAAAGAAGAACGGCGCAGCTCTCTTCTGATCCGTGGTTCAACGGTTTTGCGATTCGTCGTCGTTGAAAATATGTCGTGTGTGGCGATGAGAAATATATCCGTTCAGGCGATGCAGCCGCCGGTAATACTGCCGTTCGGCCATAAACGTTCCAGCCGTTTTCTTTTATTGTCGAGACTGCCGTACAATGAAATACTGCTACTGCTACTTCTGCTGCTGTATTCTACCAGGCAAAGAAAGAATTTCATTCTCGGCGCGATCCGTACGATAAGCCGGTGACTCTAGTTCTCTCTCTTGTGCACGCGCACGGTGATCGACGGCGACCCGATCCTCACTTTAAGGCCGGTTAAAGGCGACTAAACTATTCGGCTCGTGCGCCTTCCATCTTCGGCGGGCATGCCCACCGCTACGGGACCCGGCGCCAGGGCCGTGCCACGCTGCACTGAACCCCACCCCACAGCCGCCGACACGCACTGCCTCCTATACACTGTAATATTTAACCGGCGTCGTATCGCTCGATAATCGCGCCGCTACTTAAGGACACACTTGGAGCTCTCTCATTCTGTCTTTCACGGCCGTACCCATGTAAGTACTATACGCTACTACTTACGAATAATTACCTTATCATCGCGTACAAATACGCGGTTATGATTAATGTCTTGTGATACGATAACACGCTGATCGACGCTCTCGAAAAGTTGAACAAGAATTTTTTCTTTTTTCTTTTCTACCTAGCTCGTCGTTTCATTGCCGGCACAATAACCAATGGTAAACGATCGTTGGTTTATCTACGGGTAAAAGAATTTTCCGCATATTTCCATGTTTACTTGCAGCAGTTCGCCGGAGGCTTTGTTGATAACCGATACGAGCGATTACTTTTGACGTATTGTTCGCTTCTTTTCCAAACGGGAGAATTATAGATGGAAATGGATATTTCTCAATTTCTTAGGTTATTTAAACGATGCAGAGAAACTTGAGAAATTTTGCACTTATCTTAAGAAAGAGAAACACGAATATATAGTAAAACGATGTTTGTTTTATCCAAAGCTCAAAATACAAGATATACACTTCGAAATATTAAAATTCACGTATTCTTCTATGAATTTCAATTTACACATCACGCGTACCCGTGAAATTCGTTCAAACTGCAAATTGGTACAGTAGATTCTAAGATAAAACGATCGTTATTTTCGACGGCCAAATACCGATCACCGTTTACCTTACGCTCACGTTAGACAGGTAGCGTTCTTTTGTACCACGTAGCAGCTGCTCGACTCGTGTAGTTGAGAGAATATGTTATGGTTTGATGTACGCCGTCTCGCATGAGTTTGTCATGGGAGAAATGTGGAGGCCACATGTGGAGCAGACTTGTGGTTGGCAACCTGTCGGAACCTGTACGGATTTAATACTACAACCAGTCGTGTAATATTAAGGATACTACACTGGCGACGCTCCCACAGTTATTATTCTTCGAGTACACCGACTGTACCTAGACGAATCTAACCGGCGAGGAGAGGCCTCTCATTCTGTCTTTAGAGAGAGGAACCCTTGTTGCTTTCTCGCCCAGTATTCGCGAAATTTTACCACCCTTCCGTATCCACCGACGAGTTAACTGGCGAACGGTAAATAAATCTGAGAAATCCCCGCTTCCGGGCCTTTATACGTAATCCGGTAACAACTTCCTCTCGGTACATTCAGTTTCAAGGCAGCTGAAACAATCATATTCCTGTTATTTCGCGTACGACGCGCGGCGGTTCGCGTTCTTTTAAACCGGCCTTACATAACGGCGCCGGAGTTTATTGAAAAAATAACGGGGAAACCTCGTTGCGTTGTTTGCATTAAGAAGTGTCAACTGTGTTTAATTCTGTTCGTCGTGATAACTTGGATAAAAAGACACTCGCGACGCGAACGATATTATCGATTACCGCGAAATTTGTCCCCTTTTTCAACACGATTCACGCGTCTCGAGGAACAATCTCATGAGCGGCCGCGCCACACGTAGGCAACGTTACTTTGCCCAATATTGCTTATTAACTTGGAGAGAAGTTTTGCACTCGGGACGCTCAGGAAGGCTGTTTGTAACGTATATATATGTACGTAGCCCTTGACACATAATGTTGTGCAATTCGAAGCAGCACGGAAAGCGTGGCTGATAGCGTCTCTCGTTACATCACATCCAGCATTAAGGGTTAGATTTATGGGAGGCTCCGATGAACCGAGATTATGGATCTCCTAGCTATTAGAATGGTACTATTATCGTTTACGTTGGTATCGAGCAGAGGGAGAGAGAGTAACAATGTTCTTTTTTTTTCTTTCTTCGGAACGCGTTAAAATTACAACATAGAGCTGAACAATTTCGTTAAATCTCCAATTCTAATCGGTCCAAGCATCGAACGTGTACGATCGTGCAGGTTTGATAAAATTCTGGTGCTAGCTACCTAACCTAACCTCAAAATTCACATCGATCTTTGCATATGAATAATTGTAACGAAATTTCCAGTACTGTTCTGCTGTGAAACTTAATTCTAGAATCTGATTTATTATTTCGAAGAAAATATTCGATATTGTTACTCGTTTATAGTTTCGTAGCAAGAGGAATGTTCGTTTTTATAGAATTTTATAAAATGTCCATCGATCCTGTTAAATTTTCAATCGATCGATGAAAATGTAGCGATAGGGTGCCGAGTCTGCGCGCTACGGTCATGAACGAGTTCGTGTGGGGGCCGCGCCCGCCCTATTCTCGTTGCCATAATGTTGCATATATTGCAGAAATTACGTCGTTTTGTTTACAGAAAGCTCGATCGTGCTTGTCCACGACGCTAATCGAAGCTATTCGACAAGTTCGAGCATCTGTCGTGGCGTACTTCAAGAGATTTTCGGCGTGGAACAGCGGCGTTGCGGACTATTTTTGGTCGCGCAGTATTGAGCGCTACGGTTGACGCGGCATCGACGCCTCAGTAACAGATTCGAACCGGTTGCGAGCAAGCGTTCTCGAGTAAATCAGTTTTCTCCCGGGAAAATTCACGAAACACCTTAGAACCATTTGTAAAAATTCTTTCAGCCTGTTTTATCCTTCGATAACACGTATAAACGGTATATTTATACTCGATTTAGCAAACACTTTTTATATACGTACTGTATCGCGTATAATATGTATAGTTTAGTTCTCGATCAATTTTTTTATCGTATTATTACGATCGATAGTGTAGAAAAATCGTGTTAGTTGGTAGTCGGTAATGAAAAATTGCAAACACTATTATTATTTATAGCGATTATTATTTATTTTCATTTTGTACCCAACACGTGTCTCAAAATAGTAATAAATATTGAGAAATATCCACGTATTACGGAACGTAAATACCGCAGGAGGAAATAATAAATATAGCACAGCTACTTTCTGACTTTACACGTTAAAGTAAACTCATTACGGTGAATAATTTTTTCGTGAATGACCCTGAACAGGTTTTACTCCTATTTCACGCCGGTTATTTATGTATAGATACACGGTTGAGAAAAAAAAAAAAAAAGAAAGGAAATAAGTATCTATGGCGTTCTATTAGTAACGTCTCGCAGGAAAGAAGGAAAGTAAAGAACCGATAAGCAGCTGGATGTCAGATAAGGAAATTTGAAGATTTTTCTTCTCGGTTCGTCTTTCGGTTCGCGCTCTATTGAGTCTTCGCCTATCTTCGCGCCCCACCGTCGATTATTTGAACCATCGGTTCGAGGAGTGTACAAACTTATGGTGTAGCGGTACCGATTGACGAGTAAAAAATAAACTTTCTTAATAAATGTATATCGTTACTTCAAAGCATTTGTTTTTTTTTTTTTTTTTTTTTTTTTTTGAACATTTTCATCGACAAGTAATTTTAGGCTTCGTTCCTATAGTTATGTACTGGGTAAGTACATGCATATGTTTCATTAAGTGAACTGTTTGATTATCCGAACCACCTCAGTCCCAATTGGTTCAGATAACTGACGCTCTACTGTATACACATGTATACGAGAGGGAGACTGTAAAAACTCACCCTCGGAGAGTTGGTGTTCGCGGATGTCGAAAAAGGTAGCGGTATCGAGGCAAAACAGCGCGTGGTCGATCGACGTCTTGAAAATAAGGACGTTCGCGTTAATGGCGATGAAATTTTTGTAAATATTGACGCGAAGTGGTCAAGCGCACGTCGGGTATTTCAAATCCGAGCCGAGGAGTGGATTTAAAAGCAACGCTTTGTTTAGACTAGAGCCGTCAATAAGAAGGCGGCAAGGAGGCAGATCATTCTTGACAGTTCACACTCGAGTGGCTCGTACGGAAGCAGCGCGGCATTCGACCTCTAAAGTCAGTTCGAAACTCGATAAGTTTGAAAATCGATCAAGTTTCAGAGGTTGCGAAATCGTTCGCCTTCGGGAACCAGCGAACAGCTAATCTCACAGAAATCTGACTTTTCTGTCAACCTGACTTATGAATTCGTTTTGCACGGAGAAACCAACTGGCAACATTCTCGCACGCACTCGGTCGAATTGGATTTTTCATTGTTTCACCGGAATTATACTGTGTATCATTTGTTTAGTTGCTGCTAACGATGAAATTAGGTAATGCTGTGTTTGGAATGAAGAAAAGGATAAAGAAATGTAAAATTCGAAGAAATGGAACTTTCTATGCTTTACGCTAACGCCTATTATCAGTAAAATCTTTAGTAGAAAGTAAACTAAGGTATAAAACGACGGGAAATATTTGCTAGACATAAAAAGGTAAATATTTACATTGTACTACTTTCTATTTAACACAAAATATCCAACGTGTATAA